TTTGTTGAAACCATTCTTAATGAATTATATGTTATTACATTTTTTCTCTAGTATTTTTTTTTTCAATTAGGTTTTGATAAAAAAAAAAACAAGTTGCCTGGATATTGGCATGAGACATTGGGATTATTAGCAATGCATGTTTGTAGTAGGTTTCATTAGAATATATATTGGAGATGTATAACCCTGTGTGTATACTTGGTGGATATATTTTACAGTATTAGCATATCTTGCGATTTAACCTACAGCCTGAGGTATTGTCAGCGGTTCTGAGCCAAGTTTACAGTTTTAATAACTAATGGTGTTTGAATACTACTATCTCAATCATTATTAGTTGCTTTCAAAATTACATACAGTATGCATAAACTTAATTCACTGTTTTGAATCAATCAATAATTTGTAAATGATATGAAAGTGGAGATAATGTAATGAAGACTCGGGATGTAGTATCCAGATTAAGCAGAGGAGATTCTAATCCTTAATTGGATTGTCAGTTTTTTTTTTTAAATAATACTGATGTATTATATATTTATGTATTGGTGATATATTTATGTAGCGCTGATATACGCCCACTTAATGACACCAATGGCGTTGTGCCTAACAACCAGGTCTCGCATTTCCCGTGGAAATATACTACTGAAACATTCACACAATTTGTCTCCATTTAATTAAAATTCAGTGAAGACTGAACAACAAGAAGTAAACAGATTAATTACAACTTGTTTATCTTAAAACCAGGCTTCGGAGGAAAAAACAAATATTTCTAAGACATGTTGTTTGGCCAAGAACTCAAAAATGGTTTATAAGGTACAGACTTTGAATGCTAAAAGGGTGATATTCCCTTTTTCCCCAGTATTTTAGTTGTTTGTGAAATTAAATGATTCCATTTTGTAGAATTTTCCAGTGGGTTTTCTTCATTTAGTACTGGGATTATATTCAAAGTAATGTATTCATAATCATACTTATGCAGGTGGAGTGGAAACCAACAGATTACCATAATAATGTTTGAAATATGTCAACATTTTTCACAAAGAGAATGGTACACAATTGATATAGCTGGCTGGCCAAGTGTATTATTCCACATTTATAATGCACTTCTTCCTTGAGGTTATAAAGTGCATCACGCATATCAATAGCTTCTCAGTCCTAACTAGTGAACCTTAAGCCCTGTCAAGACCATCAAATTGTATTTGACAAAAACATGACATGCCTAAATATAGTGATGATGACATTACATCATGACTATATATAGGCACATAATGACTATATATGGGCACATCATGACTATATATAGGCACATCGTGACTATATATGGGCATGTCATGACTATATATAGGCACATCATGACAATATATGGGCACATCATGACTATATTATGGGCACATCCTGACTATATATGGGCACATCATGACTATATATAGGCACGTCATGACTATATATGGGCACATCATGACTGTATATGGGCACATCATGACTACATATGGGCACATCGTGACTATATATGGGCACATCGTGACTATATATGGGCAAATCATGACTATATATGGGCACATCATGACTATATATGGGCACATCATGACTATATATATAGGCACATCATGACTATATATAGGCACATCGTGACTATATATGGGCACATCATGACTATATATAGGCATATCATGACTATATATGAGCACATCATGACTATATATGGGCACATCATGACTATATATGGGCATAGGCCTATATCAGTTTTTGTCAAAGAAAATTTGATAGTGTGGACAGATTTAAGCTGTGTTCATACTATTATATTTTAAGGGACAAATACCTGGGATTTGCCCATATGTGAGGTCTCACTACAAAATGAGTCTCATCGTTAGAAAATCCAAAAATGAGTTAATATTACACTTTGGTAGATCACATTACAAGTGGTCTTTGAATGGCTTCCCTATGATAAATAGATCCAGAGATGTTAGCATTTAAAGTTTAAGTGTATGAGAACCAGGTTTTGAGAAAATCGGCCTCAAAGATAAACTAACCTGTACAAATAATAGAACTAGAATTACAGAATATGTGAAGACAACACTGTTTTAGTAAGAAAATTCAATTAAAAAGTACACAATCATAAAATATAAGTATCAAGTTATTCAAAATTACAGCTGTCTCTTATACACATCTAGATGTGTATAAGAGACAGGTTATAGGGAGTGTGAAACAATTAATCATAATCAGTGAATAAATAAATATAAAAAAATATCGACTCATAGTTTGTATCGCTTTCTTTGGACTATTTTTCAATGACTAAGGTCAAGCTTATAGCCCTGTCACACCTTGATGATTTAGTTAGCGTATGCTGACGTATCGGAGTTTCTCTAAAAGACTGGCATACGCTGAACTATCAATGTTTTTTTGAAATTTTGGGCACATACGTAGCATATTCATAATGAGGTGGAGGTATGCAAACGTATTAGTAACTTATATAGAACGTTTTGGTAACTTATGGGAAAAATATATTAATGAATGCTTAGCATGTTGGCGTTCACAACTTATGACCAACGATAGTCTACCTTATGCACAGTACACGGCAGCGTATCGCCGACGATGACGTGACGTAGCCTATAAAAAAGCTGCCACTCGCCGATTCCAATTATAGCCTAACTGCACTAGACATCGTAGTATCAATATCACTGAATCAACATCACCCCATTTTTAAATATACCATTTCCTCTAAACTCTGCCAATATGCCGTTATATGGCTGTCTCTTATACACATCTAGATGTGTATAAGAGACAGAAGCTGACACTGATTATGAAACTGCTCAGAACCTGGTAACACCTGACAATACAAGCAACAAAAGCTCTCACCATTCAGAGACAACAGCAAATGTCCATTACATTAACTTGAAAATTAAAGCATCACAGTTGGGGCGATAGAGCCCATGATCAATTTGCCAACAGTCAATGTGGATTGTAAAATTTTATACATATACTGTACTACTAGTACTACATACATCTACTGTAAAATATACAAAAAATAAGAATTACCTATTATCTGTATTAGATATTAGCTTTCAACTGAATGAGGATTAATGTAGCTAAATATTGTAAAGTAGGATAATAACCCATAATGCACAGCATGATTTTGCTTAATTGCATATGGGCGTTGTCTGTAAATACTTCAGTAGCAGTAGCGAGGTGATTAGTAGCTTCGCGTTAACATTGGGGCAACCCTCTACTATTCTTAAAATGGGTTTTTAAAGTGCACACAAGCCAGATATGTACACTGGGTCTTAGACGAAGAAAATAGCCGAAACCTGGCCAATGTTAAGGCTTTAGTTAACAGCGCCCCTGCTTTACCGCTCAGCCACTTGACTCGTCCAAAGTCAACAAAATTTTCTCGCCAATTACTGTAACAGTGTTCAAATAGTTCCATTTCTAGTCTATGCAGGGAGTTGTTATTAGAAGGAGTCACAACAAAATCCTCTCTTTTGATCAGTCTACTTTTCCGACAAGATAACGAAGCAGAGAGGTAGATAACGACGAGGTTCACTTACCGAATATGAGCATGCGCAGTAAACCTTCTTATGCTTGTGTGTGACGAAAAAGCATGGCAACTAGAGAGAGTGTCAGTTATCAACTACACGCTAGCGTCAAACCGATACAACAAATATGCCCCTATATCATTTCACTGCTACGAAAACATGTTCAGTTTTAACAACTGAGGGCGCAAGATTGTCGGAAAAGTACGCTATTGACAAAAGACAGGCAGTTAGTCACAGTTCTCTTTGAAGATTCAGTACACCGCGCTTCGCTCATTGGCTGTAGATAAGTAGATAAATGTGTTGTGACTCCTTCTAAATAACAACTCCCTGGTCCTAACTAGTGAACCTTAAGCCCTGTCAATACCATCAAATTGTATTTGACAAAAACATGACATTCCTAAATATAGTGATGATGACATTACATCATGACTATATATAGGCACATCATGACTATATATAGGCACATCATGACTATATATGGGCACATCATGACTATATATAGGCACATCATGACTATATATGGGCATATATCAGTTTTTTGTCAAAGAAAATTTGATAGTGTGGACTTTGAATGGCTTCCCTAGGATAAATAGATCCAGAGATGTTAGCATTTAAAGTTTAAGTGTATGAGAATCAGGTTTTGAGAAAATCGGCCTCAAAGATAAACTAACCTGTACAAATAATAGAACTAAAATTACAGAATATGCGAAGAAAACACTGTTTTAGTAAGAAAATTCAATTAAAAAGTACACAATCATAAGATATAAGTATCAAGTTATTCAAAAACATTAAAATCAAAATTTTTTTTAAATTTTGCCTTTGACCTATTTTGGTGAATATCTCAAAATGATTTAACCAACGATGCATCTCATCTCGTGGTGAGACCTCACATATGCATGTTACAGGACATCATCAACTCGGATATTTTCATGATATCCTCATATTTATCACTTTTTGTTGCACTGCCTTTTTTAAACTGTCACAAGCCATAACAGATAGATAGAAAAACCTTCAGCTATTCAAACACTCTTGTAAGGAAATAGTATCCTATGCGCCAAGATTATGATGAATGACCAAATAAACACTTTAAAGTGATTATACAATTTTTGGAAGCTTCAGTGCAATATTAAGACAGTCACTTTTATTGAAGATTTATGCTAGATTACAACAAATATTAGAGTATTATAAGAGTACCATGTGTTCAACAGTGGCCTAAGCAGCTGAGCGGCGGGGGATCAATTGCACCTTCTCCCCCTGTGAGTAAAAAAGAAGCATGGCGTGCCTCAAAAATATCAGTTAGACTGTTTTTATACAATTTTATTTATATTTCCTCTGTAATTTGAGCCTTAATCGTCTTTGAGATTCTCAGCATTGATGCAACCTTAGAGTTGTTATAACTCCCTGATGTAACCATGATGTAACTAAGTTCAATTTTGATTCAGAGTTTGTTATTACATTCATATACCTTTTTTTTAATAGATTGGGAAGCTAGAATAGATCAATATAACCGTGTATTTTACATCGATCATGTGAATCGTACAACAACGTGGTCTAAACCAACCTTGAATAAAGAAAGCAGAAGACAGCAACAATCCACAGACTCTCATCAAAGCAGACAACAGTTAGAAAGAAGGTACATATTTTTTTCAGCTACTATTAATTATAAGGTAAAATAAAGGTCAAAAGTCAAAAACAGTACTGAGCTCATAGGTCACTGTCTATTCATCATATACAGTAAGGAATACAATATATGAAATTTGTTTTCCTGATAGAAAATATAATAGAAAGACCAAACAAAAATCTGTTTGTACTTCTGGATGGAGAAAAAGTACATTAAAAGTACCCTACCAAGAGACACAAGAAAAATCCACAGCAAGTGAGTGTTTTTTAACCTCAATAGTCCAAGCTTCACCTGCTGAACCAACACCTCCTCCCACTACTACTATTGTTTAAAAAAAACTATTAAGAACCATAATTAGTCAATAATTGTTCATTAAAGTAATTGAATTTGAAGTATAAATATCCATTTAAATTATTTGAGATTTAGTTTTTCAAGAATTTTTTTTTTTTACATTACTTGTTTTTAACTTCATTTGAATTCACATTTTGAATATCAATAATATCTTTTGTCTTTTATGTTCATTGTGAATATTTGCCTCTAGTATTTTGTATTAAATGCTTCAGTTTGTATGCATCTAAATTCTTTGCATGGATTGTTTTTGCAATTTATCAATATTAATGCCATGATTATGCTCAGAAACTCATGACTGTTAGATTCGTGTTCATCTCACATTAACATTAGTCTACGAGTGTCTTTATTTAGCTTTTGAGGTCTCTTGAGTTTTAATATGCCCGGCAACAGGACATAACCTCATGTGTTCTGATTCAATGCACGCTGTAGCGATTATTGCTAATTAAAACACGAATGTTGTTTGATGATATGTATTAAAGTGTCGGTTTACTTGGAAAATAAATGTTGTAGGTGACATTGCCTCTAATTAGTCTAATGCTTATTTTTTGTTAACAAACACAGATATCAGAGTTTCCGAAGGACATTACAGGACCGAACTGAGAGGAGATCCGCGATTTCTGTTGTCGAGGAAACTCCGCAACCTTCTAACACAGGTTTGTATATTGAACATTATATTTAATTACCAATGAATTGTGTTTTAATAGACTACACTAAAACTCCAATTTACATTTACTAGGACCATTTTGCTTCGAGCCAATTCCAGTCTTCAAAATTTTGTTGTTTAAGCTTACAATCCATTTCACACTGCGTCACTTGTAATTTGTCTCACGCAAGGTGACGATTATAATTGCTATAATTTTACAGATATTTTTTGAAATCATTGGTTAGTGGTTATAAAATATGATACTTTGTTTTGCCCTCAAGTTGGGTGTAGATTATACTGTACTTGCGTTCATAGCGAGTGCTGGCTCTGAGCCAGGCAGCTTTTCACTTAAGTATAAATTTGGCTGAAGTCTAATTAGGCTCAGTGACTGGGTTTCCAGTAATGAGTAATTCCTGACATTTGTGGCATAACCCCAAGACGGTAAGTTGAACCCTGTCCAAGATTTATAATGATGTTTCTTCCCATACTACTTTCAACTAAGCGCCATTTAAGTACTACGGGTTTCCAAAAAAGCTTTCAAATTTTAATAAAAATGTTGATTTAAGAGAATCAAATAGAGTTCTCTAAAGTATCAACAAGACACATCAAAACAAAATTGTGTTTTTACTGATTAAGAGACTATGGAAATTACTATGAATTTTTTTTTAGTTTTATGTATATTCTGTAACAAGCAAACCATTTTATGTAGCTACTTTGGTTTTCTGTATTTAATTTACTTTCTTGGCTTAGCATTCTTGTACTTGGCAATATCTGAAGAAAAAAGACGAAAATGACTTCAAAAATTAAATAAAAAAATAAAAAAATATAATTTCTTAGATTTGTTTTTTGTTTTTTTGGTTTTTTTTTTTGTCGATTCCTAATATATTTAACTATGCCAAATGTCAGTTTCATCCATGTAGCTTTCATATTTTTGGCACAACAAAAATAAAGATAACCAGTATACTTGATTTCCAGTGCATTTTTGCTGATCTAGCCGAATATTTTGCCTACCAGGGTAGTGTGCCGCCACCTTTTCAGGCAGGCCACTGTAAACATTGAAAGTGGTCTACGGTCAAATAAATAAAAATTCTTTAAAAGCAACATAATAATCGAATGTTCTAAAATTGTTTTTATAGAATATGATATAATGTCTCATATTACTATTGAGCCATGGTATCTCATTTCTACTAGATAGTCACACTGCACAATTTTTTTTTGTCTTTCAGATCAAACTGATTCGTCACGAACTGAAGAACCTCCGGCAGTGCCCACAATTGCTTCTACCAATGCCAATAAATCCGTATTGGAAGCACCGGCAGTGCAGTTCATTACCCGGCGGGATTTTTTTAACTACCTCCATGCAAACAAGGTACTCGTAAATGATTTATCAATTCCTAACGAGATGCCAATAAACCGGTTATCACTTTTCATTTTATATTGCTGTGTCGCTGATCACAGTGAAATATGAAACTGTGTTTTCTGGGTGAAGACTGTTATTACTACCCTTTATTATGACATAGTATTCATGATTCTGATATTCTCTCTTCCTCATTATAACAATTGTGAAAAAAAAAGAAATCGGCAGAAACATGCAATTTGTTAGGTCTTCCCATAAATAAGATGCATTTTTGAGAGGTCACAAAATTAGTCAGTATTTTCATAAAATTAATGTCTTAATGTTTTGAATTTTGAAATTCCAAATTATTAGAATATTCTCAAGATCAAGTGAACAAAAATAAATATAAGATAGTAAACCAAGTGTAGGTGACATGAAAGGGATTAACAGTCACATTAAGAGACAGAATTTACATTTACTAGGACCATTTTGCTTCGAGCCAATTCCAGTCTTCAAAATTTTGTTGTTTAAGCTTACAATCCATTTCACACTGCGTCACTTGTAATTTGTCTCACGCAAGGTGACGATTATAATTGCTATAATTTTACAGATATTTTTTGAAATCATTGGTTAGTGGTTATAAAATATGATACTTTGTTTTGCCCTCAAGTTGGGTATAGATTATACTGTACTTGCGTTCATAGCGAGTGCTGGCTCTGAGCCAGGCAGCTTTTCACTTAAGTATAAATTTGGCTGAAGTCTAATTAGGCAGATATAATTTGTTTAACTTTGAAGCTAATTTCATCAAAAGCAGGTTTTCCTACATGTAAACTTTGAACGCTCATCTCCAGGTCTACTTATCCTATGAAAGTAATTTAGAGACAAAATTAATGTGGTCATATTTGAATATAATATACCGTAAATGCAATTTTGATTTCTCACCTGACTGACTCATTTCATTGGAGGACCTCACATTTATTCTGAGATTTAATACCTGGCAAACATTCAGAGTTAAATGCATAATGAAAGATTTTCACCACCTAGCGGTAACTCGGATATAGGTCAATTTTAAGCCAATAAGAATACATTTGCGAATCATTCACTCGGTTATCTTTCTAAGTCAAAATTCATTCCTCTAACTCACTATTGTTTCAAGAGCGAATTTGAATTCAAACAGGTATGAGCATTATCACGGTGATGTAGACTACACAGTTGCCTTTGCATCTTAAAAGGATTGACATTTTGCTAGTGACGTGAATCTGAAATACATATTTTACCTTACATATACATAGCTAAACAAAGAATACAAAAACTTTACAGTAATCACATATTGCTTTAATCAGTACTGTATGTGTCAATAATGTAAGTGGGTGTGGTAGTTTAAACTGGCTCTGTACTTAGCACTGCTTGTGTTTTTACTATATTAATACTATGAACAAGTATAGTACATACTAAACAATATATTTATAATTACATTGATATAATCTACTAATATAATACTGTATTAAGTATTTATGTTTATAAAGTATTATAACATGTCAAAAATGTGATACATTTTGAAATGCATATTTGTATAGAATAATAATTTTTCCATTTAGAAAGTACTTTTTACTATTTCTTTTTCACCATTTAATACAGGGTGAGCCCCTGAAACTATTTCTCATTAGAAAGCTATAGGGAGGCAAGTTGCTATTGCATCCATAATAATAACAATAGAAAAGTAAAGAATCACTAAACAGCCACTCTTTTTCTGCTCTATTATCTGTAGTTGCGAAGTCATGTTTCTAATAAGAATTACTATTATGATTATTGCAAGATATCTATGATCAATGTGTCAACAAAATAAATCTTAATACTCATATATTTCAATTAGTTATAATAATTTATTTCATTTTGATTTATTTTTGGACATTTGTTATATTGTTACCTATGTTTTTCTAGATAGTAGCAGGCACATCATAAAATCCTTAATTACTATAATGAAGGAACATATTGCATCATACAATCTTCCCTGATAGATTCAGCTTGTTCTTTTTCTAGGCTTGGCAGATAATGTATAGTAAAAGACATGCCTGAGGCTTTCCATAATTTATGATTTTTTAATGTAAATTGTTAGTGCTTATTGATATTTGTTCCTTTCAAGTGTGCACAGCCACCTGTTTTTTTCAGGGTTTCTTCAGCGGTTTTAGTTGTAAAAAGATGAAATTGTATATGGCTTGACACATTTCTGATGATTTATGTTGTCACTTACCTTTACAGCAAGCTTTTAATATGTACCAGAAGAATTCCTCATTAAAGCACATGGTTAACAAAATACGCAGGGATAGAAACAAGTTTTCAGACTACCAACACAATCGGGATTTGGTTGCGCTTCTGAATCTGTTTAGTGACAAACGAGCGGAGTTACCAAGGGGATGGGAAAAGAAAAAAGACAAATCTAGCAAGGTACAAAAAAAACATATATGATAATATATGATAAATAAATAATACTGTAATTAAATTGTTTATCTATTTTTTTTATTGTTTATATAATTGTAATTCAATAGACTAGGATCAAGCAAGATAGCAATATTTTTTTTTAATCTAATAATAAATTGTTATATATGATGAGATTTCTCTTTTGCCTTATAAAGTCAATGTCATTGTGCATATATAATATAGCCTATCACGGAGCATATGTGAAGATATTATGCATATCCATTTTGTTTGTGTAATAAGCTACATTGCTTATATACCTTGCTTTTGACATACACATGTGCAGCTAAAAGATGGCTTAATGCATTTGGGGAAGGCAGTTTGGTTCAGCATTTTCCACTGTAGTGTTTTTTCTTGCCTTTTGATCGAGAGCTCCATTCTCGGCTGTCCATGCTTTGGTACCCCAATTAGCTTTGTCCACATGAAGTGGTTCAGCCCTAGGTGCAAGTATATCATGCTATATAAACATAATTATAATTACAAAGAAGGAAGAAAAATAAATGTCCAATCAACATCGAAACCAATCATGCAATTTGAGGTGCATATTTTTATAATATTTAAACAATTATGTTGTGTTTTTTTTTTTGTTTCAAGAATTTCTTTATAAACCACACGCAACGAACAACAACATTTATAGATCCACGTCTTCCAGTGGAGCCATCTGGAGATGATGGTGCTAATCTTCTACACCTTCCACTGACGCATCGGGAGAGGAGCCGCAGTGAGGGTGAAGATGATGTCAGGAGTACTGCTGCTAGGATGGTATGTAAATTTCATTCATTAAACATTCAAATAATTTCATTTTGTAAGAAACTTTACTGTTGGCTTAGTATCAAGGAAAATTCATCTAAAATAAAATAAATTCATTTATTATTTCCCGGAACGTACAAAAAAAAAAAGAAAAACCCTGAAGATGACTTCCATGTGAACTAATTACTATTGAAAGGCTCTCCTTTTTAACAGTGACTACACACTAAATTTAAAATTACAATACAACAGACAATTTCATTACTTTTACGCTAAAATTTAAAATTACAATATATCATTAAGATATATGAGGAAGTTGGGATTATCCATCAAAGAAATTGACACTGAGGTAAAATTTTAAATTAAATTATTATTCCAAATGTACTTGAACTAATAAAGCATGAAAATTTGTAACAATAATGCTTGAGTGATTTGGCATGACAGTTCCGTAGCATTGCTCAAGCATGGATAATTAGGCTTCAACATGGTAACGTCATTTACATGATAATGTCATTTACATGATAAAAACTACCGATTCTAGTAGCCAAAACTTAGCAGTAAGCTTCGTATTTATTTTGGCTTATCATTACTGAAGATAATATTTACAGGTACTATGTATATATTAAAGATGAATACATTTTTTTTTCTGAACTGAAGTGTTGAAGTGATGTACAGGATAGCTTCAGTTTGTTTAATTTCTTTTGCATTCTGATAACGTACATTTGTCTTTTTTTTGTTCAGAATCCAGGGGCCTCAAACCATTCTTCAGGTGTAGGTCCACCAGTACAACCAAGACCGATTGAAACACTTAGTGGCTCATCATTAAGCTATCCCCTGGAACAAAAACCACTAGGTATGTTGTGTACACATTCAGTTATTATTGATTGTATCGATGGAAGCTATGTGATGTTTATTTAGCTTAGAAGCATATACAGTACTGATTGGGTTGGCTGTGCCTGGTGAATGTTGAACGCGTTACTCACAGGCAAGTATGGGCAAAAGGTACACTGCCCGCAATCAGAACTGTAAGATTAGAGTAGAGTGTACAATTCACAAAGAGAATGATAGAGCTAAATAATATATGCTAATGATTTATCATTATTTAAAATATTTTTTAAAATATAATTAAATGATGATATTTACCATTATGTTGCTGCATTGCTTTGCTACTAATATATCTAATTAATATCTTTTTTTGTTTGCAATAACAGCTTACAATGAAAAGATAGTTGCTTTTCTTAGACAGCCAAATATTTCAGATATTTTGAAGGAGAGGCAAGCAGAATTAGCATCAAATCCAAAGTTAAGGTAAGCTTTTAGGAAATAGAGATTCTAATCTCTTCATAATAGTAAATACACATTTGTGTTTAAATTTTTTTTATTGTTTCTCTGTACTTATACATATGTTTTTGAGTGATGTTATTTTGTGAGACAAGAATGCTGATTTACAATGCCATTTCATTTTCCTCATCAGAGATAAACTATCACTTATACGGCAGGAAGGAATTGATGCCTTACACCGTCTTAGTAACGACATTGAGCTGAATTTGTTGTTAAGGTGAGTCTTGGGGCGTTTAAAAATTCTTATATAAACACTTTTAAAAATGATGACAAACCCAGGACATAGGAACAGTAAGATTCCAGGTGGCAAGATGGATTTTATCAGCTTGTGAATATAGAGATTCTGCAAACACTCCAATATATCATACTACAGGACAACACATTTTCATCCACCAAATGAAATTATGGCTTGAAAGAGCTTGACACCCATATTATTACCAGACATGCCCTAATTTGGTTTATATAAACTGTCGGACTTCTTGAGAAAACAGCAAGGAGAAAATAATATTTTATTATGTTTATGCTTTGACCGAATCATACAAAAATGGATACAATTACAAATAATTTTTTCTCCATATAGAATATATGAAACCTTAATTGTAAATACTTTTAACTTTCCAGGAAAAAGTTGATTTATGGTCTTACATTTTTATTATTTTCAGTTTATTTCAGGATGATATTGAGACGTACACTCCAATCGCCACTCTTCCGCACTCTTCTACTTTAGCGTCATCGATTCAAGAACCACGCCACACATCTCCCAAAGGATCACCTGGTGTGTATTTTGCTTTTTTTCATTCTTTTTCCTTCTTTTATTCCTCTTATATTTCTGAAACATTTATTTCTTATATTGTCACTGTATGTTGTCTGGTTAAATGTAGTGTAAAATGAAATAATGTAAAAACAACTGATAAAGTGATGGAATAACTATAGAAAATTTGATGTATGACAACAGTGTGATTAAATTTGGCCACCATCATAGGAAAAAACAAAATTATTTGAAAGCTCAATTGTACAATTTTTTTGTTAGACACCACAATTAGGAATTTTATTCTTGTAAGTCCAAAATGTATGCAATTTTGTTATAGGTATTATTTTTTTATTGTTTTATTTTATTTTTTTTTTTGGTGTTAGATATTTGGAACTGTAGTTTACCTGACACAACCATAATAAAAGTTCTGTTTTTTTTTGTTAATTTTGTGATAATTGCTGTATATTTACAACTCCGAAAGATAACTTTTATATATGTACCATGTATGGCAAAGAGAAATAAATCTTATCATTTTATATAGTTGTACCCAGAGCCAATGCAAGAGCTCCTGCTCCATATCGCAGGGACTTTGATGCAAAACTTAGGAGTTTCTACAAGAAATTGGAAAGCAAAGGATACGGGCAAGGTCCAACCAAACTGAAGTAAGTCATACTCTTTCTCTGATTAATATTTTTAATGGGCACATGATTAATATTAAATATTATTGTAAAACAAGCAAACTTGGCCATTTGTACACTCACTGTGTGTACATTTCAACCTTTCTATCTAAAATTGGAGTTATTACTGGTTGTGACCATGCTAGAATCACTACTAGAGAGGCTACCTTCACCAGACTTCTGTTAATGGATGTCTTGAGCCCTGTCTAGGCTGTCACATTTTATTTGATAAAAATATGATGACATCACATCATGACCATATATAGGCACATCATAACTATATATGGGCACTTAACATTTATTTGTTAAAGAAAATTTCATAATCTGAACAGCTTAATTTAAAGTAAGAATTCAAATTTTCCACTCCCAATTCTGTTCAGTTGTAATACTTGACAGGAAATTTATCAGAATGTATATTTAACAACTGTTATGTCTGCTTGAAATGTATAGTAATACAGTATATTTGAGCTCACACACCATCAACAATAAGTAAATATCGTTCATATTATATTAATAAATATATTATTAATATCAGTATTTATAGTAATGTTTAAATTACATTTCTGCTCTCCCCTCCCCCAACCCCCAGAATCACAATAAGACGGGAACATCTACTGGAAGATGCCTTTGGAAAGATTTCTGCAATAACGCACAAGGATATTAGAAAGTGCAAATTATTTATCTGTTTTGCTGGCGAGGAAGGGTAAGTCAAATGATTGGCATTGCTCTAGAGTTCATGGAGAGTTTAATATTAGGAGGTGAATCTTAGAATGTTTTTGACATTTTAGTGATATCCCATGCATATTAGCTGGCACATAATTTCTGGCTTGCTAAATAATATTTTTTTCTCTCTGAATCATAATAAGAGCTAAGCACATATAATTGTTATAATTTATAGGAACAAATGACTATAACATGTTTAGATATGAATTCTTTATAGGAATTATTGCCATAATTTGATATTTCATGTATAAAGATGGGTGCAGCATATTTTCATATATAAGTTCAAGATATCTCATAAATAATAATTTCAAAAATATTCATATTAATTCCTGAGAGAACTTTTTCATAAATATGATATTTCATAGATAAATATCAATTTTGATATGATTTTCACAATTGTGAAACTATTTGTATATTCAGTTTTCTGTATTTTAGTTACTAGTAGACATTTTGCATAAACTAGGTATTTATTTCAGAGATAAAAATGGTTTAGGAATTTTCATTTTCACATTTCAGACTTGATTATGGAGGTCCATCACGAGAGTTCTTCTTCTTACTATCAAGGCAACTCTTTAATCCGTACTATGGCTTGTTTGAGTATTCCGCAAACGATACGTATACTGTTCAGATCAGTCCTATGTCCGCATTTGTTGACAACCACATGGAATGGTGAGTAAATAAAAATTATTCTTTTGTTAACAATGAGAATGATTTCATTAATAATGAGGAGGCAAAAATGATGATGGTGGCAAAGAAAACTAGGACAGTAAGGGAAGTGATCTTCATAATTATAACAATTTCAAAATTAATATTTATAATGATGTGATAATTCAGTAATAAAACAAACAATAGTAATTAAGTAATAATAATGGTAAAATATGTTGAGTAATATTACTTTTAGATTTGATATAGAAAATATTTTCTTTGCCTATCAACTGAAAAAAATAGTACTATTCTTTATATTAATTATTATTTACAGACCCCATTGAGTCTTAATAAACATAAGGATTTTTGTAGTAAAATGTCAGTGAAAATTGAATAGTTTTGACCTGTGTTTCATTGAAAGTTTTTGAGAATTTTTCTACAGACAATATGTCTGAGGCCTAATTATATGATACAGAGACCAGTCTAGGTGAAATTTGTCTATGCTTTGAAACCTTTAATGATTGTCAGGTTCCGCTTCTGTGGGCGAGTCATCGGTCTTTCTATAATTCATCATTACCTTCTGGATGCTTTCTTCACACGACCTTTCTACAAAGCATTGTTAAAGCAACCCTGTACGCTGAGTGACCTGGAGTCTCTAGATAGTGGCTTCCATCAGAGTCTTTTATGGATGAAAGACAACGACATCACAGAGGCATTAGATGATCTCACTTTCACAGTGGATGAGGAAGTCTTTGGTCAAGTATGTTCCATGATATTTGAATACCATTTTATATGAGGCTTTACATCCCAAAAACCATCGTACTGTTGCCCATCGTACTGTTGCTGTATGTTAACTGAGTAATTAGCATAAGAATGTGCCAGTATTGTATACTTTAGTACAGAGAAGCTGTGATACTTTTACTCATATCTTTGGCAATAGAAAGTCAATTCCAGTAAATGACCCATCATTTTAAAACTTGTAATGTGGAGATAAGAATTATACTGAAAAGTATGTTTGAGTAATGTATGTTAACAACATATATTAGTATGTTTTATATGAATAATAATGAAAAAGCATCTATAGAGCTGAGTGTTTTGTTGACAGGTGATGTTCCTACATGTTGCACTTAAGACCCCAGTTCAAACCTGGCTCGAATTGGTTTTTAATAATGCTCTGAGTACTTGGCTGCTTGAATAACCCTAACATGGAAGATAGACAGGATAAGGGACAATGTATCTTTTAAATTTATAGAAAGACAATTTAACATCAATTAAGGAGAGTACACTTTTTCTAATTTTTTTTTTCAGGTTGTTGAGAGAGAGTTAAAAGCCAATGGTAAAAACATCCCAGTCACAGAAAAGAATAAAAAAGAGTACATAGAACGAATGGTGAAGTGGAGGATAGAACGAGGCGTATCGGAACAAACAGATACACTTGTACGAGGGTTCTATGAAGTAAGTGTAGCAGCACTGCCAATAATTTATAACATTTATTGTCATGGTAAACCAGAAATAGCCAAAAACACTATCAATTAAAAAGGGCAATTAATTAAAGAATAGTTGAGATGCAAAAATAAAAGCATTTTTAACCAGAAACAGATGGCCAAGTTAAAACAAATATGGAAAAATAGATTCGAAAAAGCACTTCCAAGGCTTATAGAGCATCACATGATTTATTTAAGCTGACTTTCTTAGATTAGGTAGAAGGTTAACCTCTTAAATATGGTGCAAATAAACATAGTTTAAAAGTGCTGCATGTTTTTTTCCCAGGTTGTTGATTCCAGGCTGATTTCAGTGTTTGATGCACGTGAACTGGAGTTGGTAATTGCTGGCACTGCAGAGATTGATATCATTGACTGGCGAAAAAACACAGAGTACAGAGGCGGTGAGTTCAAATACTCCACAGCAATACTAAATAAACTAGTTAAAAATAGTATAGAGTTATGATCGAGCATCCTGTTAAGACCTGTAATTTGGATACAGTTGCTCATTAATATCATGTTTTAATTGGTTACTTGTGAAGTTGAATTGACATTGTCAGAGTAGCTTACTCTTTAGCATGATGATGCAAAGTATTTATTGTACTTCACACAGCATGGCACAAATGAAATTGTTTTGATTAATGTAGTACACATAAAGTTATAAATATTAGAAGTATTCAAGATATAAATATTCATGAATACTATGGATGGGGTCTGATGACCAAAAAAATACGACAATGACCCAGCGAATAGATACAGCTGACCGTCGGCTGGCGAATTGGAATAGATGGATAAACTAACCAATCAAAATTAATGGCTGGTACTTAACAAGATAAACCAACCAATCAAATTTAATGGCTTATACTTAACAGGATAAGCCAAGCAAAAAAAAAAATGTAATAGCTTACACTTGATAAATCAACCAATCAAATTTAGAATAATTTATTATCCTTATTTTGATAATGAATCAATTTCAGGATACCAAGATAGGCATCATGTGATTGAGTGGTTTTGGATGGCAGTGGACCGGTTTGATAATGAGAGACGGCTGCGTCTACTTCAGTTTGTCACTGGTACATCTAGTATACCTTATGAAGGATTTGCAGCCCTTCGTGGCAGCAATGGACCCCGCAAGTTCTGTATTGAGAAATGGGGCAAAGCAACTAGCCTTCCAAGGTAATATCAATATTAATATTTTAAAATCCATAATACATTTAATGTATGTATAGAGTACTAGAGTGTTACGTCACGATACCATGTGATACTACTCTGTTGCTATCGTTGCAAAAAGAGTTCAAGCAGGCGCCATTATTTCCACTAACAAACCATTGATCCCATTTCTAACGTAATTATTAGGATGTTGTATCATACTTTTTCTTTGTAAATTTTAATTGATGATTAAATATGTGTTCAATAACTAATATAATGCGAGCAGGTTATACATTATTCATTCTTTAGCAATCAGTTATACATTATTCATTCTTTAGATGACATAGAATCTGATTTTTTAAAAAAAAATTCAATTTCAATATTTTACAACATTGTCCAGGATTTCTTAAATACATCACACATAATATCAATTGATGATTTTCTTTGGAAATATTTTTCTGAATTGCTTAAGTAGCAGTTGAAATTGAGGTTTCAGTTTTCGAACAACTGAGAAAAACAGCTTTATACCTTAGAGTGCATGCCCAGATTGTACTGTTTACACATAATAATATTAATATATATTGACATTTATGAAGCGCTCTACACCGGAAAACCAACCCCAGAGCATATGCAATCAATTCTAAAAGTCTAGTATTAAGATTATCAATCCATTGAGATTTATGAAGCGCTACACCGGAAAGCCAACCCCAGAGCAAATGCTATCAATTTAAAAATCCAGTATTAACATTATCAACCCATTGAAATTATTATCAAGAGAACATTTTATAAAAGTTACCATATATAGTAAATTTGCCTGTCTGTTATTCATTATGAAAAAAAATGAACAGTACATTACACTTAGCAAGTTACCAGTAAGCATTCTGGAATTGGAAATGTTATATAAAAAGTAATTGGGTTATTTATTTACATCGATTTTTTAAAATGAATTATTATTTAATGACAGATCTTCATTTTACTGTTTTCTTTTATTTGTACAGGGCTCACACATGTTTTAACCGCCTTGATCTTCCACCATACACATCATACGCCATGCTCTTAGAGAAGCTTGTCATCGCAGTTGAAGAAACCAGCACGTTTAGTATCGACTAGTTCTTACTGCAAGTGTGCACCCGATCAAATAGCATATTGTATTCAAAACATGCATGGAATTATGCGATTTCTGAGGGTTACTAGTAAGAGTTTGACGACAATGATGTCATCTTGAGGCATACTAAGCTCTACATTCATATTTTGTAATTTTTAACATAATTTGACATTTGAAATTGAACTAAGCAGCTAATATCTACCAAAACTGTATTGAGTTCTTTAACTAAGAATTATTTGAACTAATGCAACGTTTAACATAACTACACATGCACTTAATTATACCAACTATCATAGTGATTAGCTCTAGTATGTATCAGATAAGAATAGCACCACCCTCATCATCCCTATCATCATCATTGTCATCATCATCCTTCTTTATCTTCTTTCCATCCTCCTTTCCCTCTATTTCATCATTATCATTATTACCGTCATATTTTCGTCATATGATCATATTCACACATCATCTTTATCTTCCTCATTGTCATCATTCTTATCACTGTCATCATCTTCATCATTTTCATCTTTATCATCTTCATTATCCATAACACATTGTAACAAATCACATTTTACTACCATACAGCCAGAAGTCATTTCATACTGGAAAACCAATTTAATATGGAAAATAATGTATTGTCTATTATATGATATACTGTATTCATTTATTAATCAGTTAAAAGATAAGATTTATTTTTTGAATGGAATTTGTCTTTATTAGTTATTTAATATATTGCCAAATAACTTGTGTGGTATAATAACCAACATCACAGGGTACTGAAATGTCTTCTAATATTTAAACAATCAGAATTGTGAAAACTAGAGATCATATATTATTACTTCATATGTATATATATCTGTACCACTACATTTCTTTAACTTTACAAATTTCTGCAACATTACAGCACTTGTATTACAACACTGTAGCAATACAGTCTGTAAATCTAACATCACTGCAACACTACAGTAATTTTGCTCTGTCATCTGTGGCACTACATTATTGCGACGCTACAGTCATACAACACAACAGTGAAACTACATTAAGTCCACAACACAAGACAAGTACTACTGGTACTTGTAATTGTAGCTGTCTACAGCAATGTAGTAACACTATGGTCTGTAGCACTAAATTAATGTGACATCACAGTAACACGACAATTACACTTCAATCCCCTTACACCACTGTAACATTACTATGCTGTGGTGCTACAGTGGTTGTGGTCTTTGAGTATATAGTTTTCCTACAAAGGTCAGATTGTTATCTTGTATATTGTTATCACTTTCTTTAATTTGAAATGATTACAGATAAAATTGATTATAGCAATCTTGCATTTGATATCATCATCATTTTATAATTATCAAAAAAGTTACTTTAATTGTAGCATTGTATATAACCCCTCCCTTCCATATTTGCATGAAATTATAAAATTGATATGGATTATAGTATCGTGAAATTTGTTGTTATATCTACTCTTTGGCAGCCTGTAGAGGGCTGCATCTGATGTGGGTCTTTATCTATGCACATGTTCATTTTTGTATTGTGTTAATAAAATTCTTTCATAATAAAAATTAAATTAAAAGCCCAATAGATAGGTGTTGATATATTGATTTATATTTAATATCCTGTATTTATATTGTGTTGAATTAAATATTTACCTGTAAAGTGCATCTTAAGCTCAGTTTTTAAGTTAAGATTTTCTGAAGACCACATCATTTGGTTACTGTAATTTAGAAATTATTCAATTCCTTAAAATCCAATTTAGTGGTTTATTTTTTTATAATCAGAAGTAAGCACATATTTCATTAGAAATAAAATAGTCTTGTAGATGCAAACAGCTAACAGCAGCATCAAAGTCCACATTTGATATGTAAATATAGTTTATAAAAGTAGACAAATGATATGTTAGATATCCTTGATTTCTAAATAATTATAAAGAGTATAGGCCATCCTCTAACTAAAGACCCCTCCAATTAAAGACCACATTTCTGTAGTCCCAGATTAACAAATGTCTTTTATCTTTATTATTATTATTATTATTATTAGAGACCAAAGCTGCTAAACACCATGGAAATCCTGGTCCCAAAAGTGGTTCTTATTTGGAAGGAGACTTGTATTAATTAAAATAATTATAATTGTATTATAGTAATAATTGTAATAATTATTATAGTTGTATAATTTTAATAGTATGTATTATATAATATAATTATAACAATTTTATTAATATAACTATAAAAATTAAAATAATTTTAATCATTTTTCTTATTATTTGTAATTATTTTTTACAGTTTTTGACAAGTCATGATTTTATAGTAAATGAAGTCTTTAGTTGAAGGATTTGTGACCAGTACTTGATCGATGATGGTGCATTAGTTTATTAATGAAGTTTATGCCACCATAATAAACAGTGCTTCAAAATGGTACGATTTATTGTGCAAATATCTGTAAATAGACTTTCTGAAAGAGGTTAGTAATAGTAACATACCAACATGCTTATGTTTATTTATTGCTGTTACATTTATGGCCACCAAAATCTTCCTGCTTCTTTCATTTTTTTATAGCAACCTTTTTTTGACGAATGCAAAAACACCAACAAAATTCTACAAAAATTTGAACATGCTCATAAGACAATGATTATGTTAAGACATGCTAAAAGCACGAACAAAAATTTATCCTGATTCCCCTAACCTAGCCCACACACACAGTCTCTAGCTAGGTGTAGGTGATTTATTTTGTAGTTTATTCTTTAAAAGAGTAAAGAGTATTACTATTTTGCTTATCATTTGGAAGTGAATTAAGAAAAGAGGAAATTTCATAGTTAAAACTATTTTTTAATATTGCAATTTTTTGGATTGGTATAATGGTGTAATATGAGTAGTTTTGATGGAACTGTTGTTTTACAGTAGTTCATTGACACTCTTAACAGGTGGACACATACTCTGGTAGATTTTCTATTTGCTGTGGATATGTCATTCCAGTGGGAAAAGCCACTTGTGGTTATGTCATTCCATGTGGATGCGCTCATGATGCTGGACCAAAATATCTTATACTTATTACTGGCTAATGTGTATTATTGTTTTTGTTTTGTTTTTTATATTAATTGCAATGGGTTTTATTAGTTTTCATGCACTGTACAACTGCTAGATTTTTAATTGTATTTCCTATTCTTATGAAGACTGAAGTTTAGATTATTTTCATATTTTTTTTTTCAAATCAAAGTGAGCATAGGTATTGTATATAATATATAAAGTTGATTTATAAGACTTCAAAAAACAAAACAAACCAAATTCTTACATATTTAGGTGTATTTGATTTAAGCCTGCATAAATCCAGTCTAAAAAAATTGAACATTCTGAGCTCTGTATCCCAGTAGTTGACTGTAATGGGGAACACCACACCATTATCCTACACAATATGTTCGAAATCCCCTAGAATTGTTGGACAAAATTATAAAGATGTAGTCTCTGTGTTGAACGTTTTAACTTTGGTATTTGAATTGATTTTCTTTGTATATTTAAGTAATTTATGAGCTTTACAATTGGAAATTTGAAGAAAAAAAACACCCCAATATTTTTGCCAATTGAACAGATGCAAAATAATACAGTTATATACAGTACCTTCTGTATAATAGACCCTAGACCCTTAAATTGACTGGTTATCAATTTAAGAATGTTCATAGTAAAGACTGTAAATTAGTGATTTTTCCAGTTGGTACTACAGACAGTATATCTTTTTTAATAAAATGATTTTGGAGTAATATATTGTGTTATTTATAAATGATCTTTACTGTAAAAATAGGGCCGCACTTTTCTTATCCTTGTAATACATAGTGCCACTTTGTTGCAAGTAGAATTATGATACAACAATTGCAAGTTTAATCTTATGTTTGTTTATTATATTTTAACAGGAAATGAAGAGGAGTAAAAATACAAAAATATTAAGTGTAAAATACAGATATTACAAATATTAATCACAAAAATTATAAATATTATTTCATTTGACGAATATTGTTCAGTTCGTGTTTTAAATGTACATGCTATAAGAATAAAGTTAGGGTTATTGTTGTTATTAATTTTTATTTTTATTTCATTGTTATGATTATTAAAAAGAGAAATCATTTGGAAACTTAAAATATTATAATAATAAGAAGAAGAATCAAAGTTCTAATTCAACATAAAACATAGTTTATAAACCAATAATTAAGTTTTAAAAACAAAATAATTAAATTGTAATTATTTCTGAATCACAAACTGTTTTTGTTTTGCATTATTTGTAAGTATAGTACATAAACATAATGCATAATGATTACATCAGTTAACGGTAGTATGAATCTTATTTTTTGTTATATAATGTGACAAAAGTTTGATAGAAAAGAAAAACAGTGTGCAAGCTTTTGAAGATAATACTTTTATTTTCAATAAATCATGTTTTCAAAAGAGAAATGTTAGGTCAAGATTGAACAAATTTAAATGATTATGTATTAGTAGACTTACTGAAGATCAATATAAATATGATATCAAATATATATATTAGTATTAATTATTATAAACATTGTCATATTTAATGTATATGTTCTGTATATTTTTTTCCATAATCTGGTATGCCTGTGTGTACGCAGGATTAACCCTCCTATACAGCGTAATATATGCAATTTTATTAATGCGTTTTTTTTTTTTTCCTGTTTTTCAATTTTAATGGGTTTTGATCAGTGTAATTTTATCTGTTTTACTTTGTACCGTTTGTTTTCCAATTACATTGTTCACCAAAAAAAATTGTTTAATAAACATGGCAAATATATCATACTGTATGTATATTTTGATTTTCTTTTTCTGTTGTTGACTTTTTGTTGTACACATTTTGATGTTGCACTTAAAATAAACGCATTTAAATGTGTCCACTGTGACATGGTGCAATATATCTTCAAAGGGAATGCTAGTGGCCGTAGCAGAGCGTGTGGGATCATTTGAGATGAAAGTCTATGTAAGTCATAAAAGATATGTAGCGCGCTTTTAGCGGATGAACTGTTATTACTGCTGGATTCCAAAGTGGATCACAGACAACATATTGGAGAAATTAAAAAGTAATAAAAACTACGGTAAATACAATATAATCATATTAAAAAAAATCATAATCTTAGTAAATAAATAAAGAATATTAAAAATTCATAATTTTTTTGAATAACAATAACAACATAATAATATGTTTATAGTGCTTATAAGCCTTGTTTACACGGCCATTACACTATAAAAAAAATTATTAGTTGTACCAGGAAGTCACATGATTAAAACTGACCTGAAAAAAATGCGCGCATTGCTGCTTATTTTGAAACCCATTGCCAAAAAAGTTTTAAAAATGTATGTAATTGATAAAAACATAATTTTTCAAATAATAATAATAATAATAATAATGGACTTCCAGTGATGAGTCGGGTAAAACAACAGCTAACTTGCATAAAGATCACTCCGATGATCTATGTTAACACTGCTGGGATGCAGAGGTAACTGATCCGTTATGTGGAGTTACTTTACACGGCCACGTAACACCTATATTAACGGATAAACGCGATCATCCGTGTAAACAGGGCTACAGCCAACAAGGCTTCTAAGCGCTTCCCTGGTGATTGGATCAAAATAATACTCAGCTCTGTCTGGGCAGAATTTTATGTTACATTTAGTAATAAGCACATTTTCCGTTTGAACCTACCACATTGCCAAAGACACTGATGATTACTATTAGGTAAATCCATGGTAAGCTCTGCTGGATTAGCTATACGAAATATACCGAAAACCTCGAATTGAAGCCTCCGGGCTTATTTTTTGTTTTTTGCGAACTTTGGATTTGCTTCTTTTCGAGACTGCTTTTGTAAAGTAAAGAGGAGGACTTCTTTTCAAAATGAATGCTGTAAATTTTGTGAATTTGTACTATAAAACAAATAAGGCCACTGTAACATCAATCTGTATCATGGAGTGTATTTAACTGGCATTAAATCACCTAAACTACTGTATAAACCAAGCTTGTGTTTAATTTATTTTGTTTTCTGAAATCCATGAGCAGTGTATATACTGTACAATCTCGAAAAGAAGCCTATGCTCTTGCTTCTTTTCGAGCCAGTGGCGTATCTAGGGGAGATTAAGCACACTGGGCATAATGACCAGACCTAGCATAAAAAGCTTTTGGGCATAATTTAGACCCGTTTAGCATCTACAGTAGCATATGTGCTGGCATAATTTTGGCAAAATTTAGCATAATTTTGTAAGTAAAATAACCCAAACTGGTTTCACAAAAAAAAAAAGGTCAAAATTGAAACCTAACAAAAATGGATGCCAGGTCAATTAAAATTATTTCATCCAAAAATATTACTCTTGTGAATATCTATTATCGATCCCCTCCAAATTATTCTACCACATCATCACTCTGGTTTTTTTTTTCTTTTTGCATTTTCCTGCACATCGTCTACAGGACCTTTTAATAAACTGTCTTAAAATTTTCGTAGGCCTACCTCCCCATTGTGGTGCTTTATAGCCGTCGAAAATATTTTGTAGTGTGCAGTGGGCAGAGATACCGAAATCATGATGTTATAAGATGTACAGTACTCTACTTTGGCTGTAGGCCTACAGGGCTCTTTTCGTTAAAACCTGGGTCATTTTTATGCAGTTCATTTCAACAACTTTTAGGCATCTTCTTTACTATGAAATTACATTGTGGTCGAAAAGTTAGAGGGACCAAAACCCCCTTAAAAAATGTGGGGGAAGTGTCCTCTCTCTCCCCATGATCTGCGTCCATACTGGTAACCAGTAGGCCTACATCCACTACACCCGGTCCCCTCAAGAGGCGGACACAACACCATGGTTGAAAAAATGGCTCCTCTGCCGGGAAATAGCACATGCATACTTTACAAAATGAATGTCCCTCATCAACATCATCATCATCATCAATATCATCATAACCACCACCCTCATCATCCTCATCGTCATAAGGAATGGCGCATTAGAAAAAGAATACCGGTAACGAATTGTTTTTTTATACCACTCCAGGTGGC